CCCTTAAAGAGGCAATTATGGCAGGAGGCTCCTCCCCTGGCGGGACTAGGACTCCACAAAGGAGGCTGCGCACAGTCCAGTTCGCTGACCCTTCCCGCCATGCAGGGACACAGTTCCTCACCTCCAGGGAGCAGCATCTGGTGCCACTCTGGAGACCAGCAGCCTCTTCCTTCCCCAGCAACAGAAGCTACAGGGCCCTAGGCCATGGACGCCAGCCTCCAAACTGCAAGAAAGTGGATGTCTGTTCTTTCTAATCCCCCAGTATGTGCTATTCTGTCATAGCTTTAGGAACAGGGGAAGACAAGGAGGAAGACAGAGTTCTCACAATATCCATGTGGCTGCCCAAGATGCTGCCCCAGGTGGAGTGAGCCCCAGAGCCTCTGTCCTCCACTGGGCTCAACCACAAGCTCAGGACACACCGCTAGGACCTCACTGAGTGGATGGCAATGCAGATTTTGGATGGGAGTTGAACGTGGACGGTGACCCACGCCAGGGTGCGACTGCACCGCAGCTACGCTCCTCTGGCTCTGGCTCACAGGAGAGGTGGCTGGGCTGCAACACTGGCCGGCCAATGTTGAGAGCAACGCTAGGGGAATCCACCAATCTACCCAGAGGGCCAAGCAGAGAGACAGCCACGCCAGGACCACAGGCGCTCCCCATCCTTTCTTCCCCTCATCCTCCTCCCGGCCCTCCCAGGCAGGCCATCCAGGACAGGCCTGCTACAGCAGCAGAGGTCGGAACCCCAAGAGGGGAACCCCACTTCTGGCCAAAGGAACTGGAAGAAGGGGCCACGGCTGCACAAACGTGGTGGAGGAGAACCCCTTGGTTTTTCTGCTTTTTCCTTCCTCTCTATTCTCCCGGCTGCCGCACTTGCGCTGAACTGCGTGGCTGCACAGGAGGCAAAAATTCTGAGATTTCCAAAGTCTGGCCAGAGAAGGTGGGGGCATCGGAGGAGAGGAAACGACCAGGAGGAGGTATGAGTGCACATGTGTGCATATGCACGTGTGTCTACACAGTGGGCCTTCTGCATCCACAGGCTCCACACCTCAGATCGATCCACCACGGATCAAAAACACAGGGAGAAAACCTGCATTTGTCTGGAACACATATGCATCATTTTTGTCACTGTTCCCTGAACAACACAGGGTAACCACTGTACACACAGCATGTGCATCGTACTGAGCATGACACATTGCCGAGAGACCAGAAGCAATGGGAGGAGGTCTGCAGGTTCCATGCAAACCTGGCCCCATCCTAAGTAAGGTGCCCAAGGCTCCAGGGACTCCGGTGTTCAGATGATGCTGGAACCAGTCGGCTGCGAGACCAAGAGTTGATTTACGATGTATACAGGCAGGGGGATTTACCGTGGGACCCGCTCCATGTACCTGGGACCGCTCCCAAGTCCCCTCCTGTCACCCACAAGGCCCTTCCCATCACCCATAAGCTGGAGACCCAGAGGCACCAGAGGTGTGGCAGACTCAGGAGTGATCAGCTCGGGCATGTGGCCTCACAGAGCCCTGTGACACGGCAGGAGTCACTGTGGCCATGACTGAAGGGGACATGGGGGTCACCATCCCACGCAGCCTGGGAACACAGCACAGTGGGCTCGAAAGGGTGCCAGGCATCATCGCCTGGCCCCGGGGACTCTGCAGATAGACCCAGGAGCAGCTAGGCAAGGGCACGTGCCTGTTCTGACCACAGTTGTCGGGGTCAGCTTCTTACCGTGGGAGAACGCAGCTCAGTCCCAGCTCCGGCGCAGGCTGCTCTGGGGTGTGCCTGCTGAGGTGCCCATCGGCCCTGCTTTACTCACGCCCAGCACCCACATGCATGCACCTAGCCCAGGAGCCACAGGTCCAGGGGCAGCTCCTGTCGCTCACGGCCAGGGCTGAGGCAACCGGACAGCCCTTGCAAAAGAAGGAGAGACAGAGATGGAGACAGACGGATGGGGAGACAGAGCCTGAGTAGGCCACAGGAAAGGACAGGCTGAGTGCTGTCCAGGAGTGCTCCAAGGCTCAAGACCCCCAGCATTCTGTCTGTCTTTGTCTCTGTCTTTCTGTGTCACACACACACACACGCACACACTGCACCAACAGCAGGGGCTCAGAAGTGGCCCACAAGTGTGGAGACCACGTTGCGGCCCGGCCCCTGCCCTGCTGCCCGGCTGCCTGCCAGGTGGAACTGCTCCAACAGGGAAAACCCAAGAGTGCCTGGCCCGCTCTGCCCTCCACTGTGCTGTTTCATACGGTTCCAGCTCCCTGGCACAGCACCAGGATTTCAAAGACCCATCCGCAAAGGACAATCCTCACGTCTCTGGTTCCCCTGAACCAGCTCCAACGTCAGGTCCTCTGCCAGGAAGCTACATGCGCACGCACATGCATACAAGTGCAACATGCATACACACACGCCAGCTTGGGAGGAGTGGCATGACTGTCCCCACTGGCCGCGCAGCAGCCCAAGCACACCATGCCCCTGCACCCGTCAACACCCCAGCCTGAGGTGGGCCCCGTGCCGGCAGCCGTCACTCCCTGACCCCTCCCACCAGCACAACTGCCGGCCACCCGGGAAGCTGGTGGGACAGGGCAGCTGAGGGCTCAGTACAGGCTGACTGGGAGGGCCCCTGGCAGAGGGTCCTGTCTTCAAAGCACTTCTCAAGACCAGTGAGTCACCTCGCTTGCCAACGCCAGGTTCCAGCAGGTCCCTTAACCCCTCACACTGGGCCACAGCACCAGGCCACCCACTCACAGCCACGAGGTGGACCACAGAAAACCCCGTACCTCGGCCTCTACCCACAGACAGGACCCACATGCACTGTCCCTCCTCTCTTCCTCCAGCTTCCTGAGGCCATCCCTGCCCTCTCCCACCTGAGTGTGCGGGCAGGACAGCCCTACCCGTGCCCCAGGCAGCTTCCAAATCTGCAGCTCCACAGGACCGGGTAGCCCAGAGCAGCCTCCTTGGGCCGCATGGGCACAGCACCCCGCCACAGCCGGGCCCTGCCAGGATCAGGACAAGCTGGGTGGCGGTGCCTGGGGGCTCTCAAAGCAGTGCCTGTGCTAGCCAGTGCCCAGAGCATGCCAGCTCGCCAAGCACAGGTCAGTGCCAGCACAGAGGTCCCGGCACAGAAGGACCGCAGCATTCCCCGCCCACCTTCCACCCTGCATCTCCAGCCCCACCCTCTACACACCAGTTCATAGCACCTGCCTCCCTCGTGACCCTCACACCCACACCCCTGCTTCCACCCAGCACAGAGCCAGCACCAAGCTTGGCACTAAGCAGACCCAGCATGAGGGGCACACAGGATACCCCACACCCCACGCTGGAGCCCTGGGCTTGAGCAGGGAATCTTCAGTGAACCTCCAATAACCTCCCACCAGGCAAACCTCCAAGTACGCGGCAGGCACCTTCTCTGGGAGCTGGGGACAGGGTTTCCCTGTGCCAGCCCCCACCCCATCACCAGGCTAAGGATGCCATACCTTCTCAACTCCAGGCCAATCTCCACGCCATGATGAGGGAGACAGATTTTCACCCACAGCACCCACTTGACCTGAGATGGGAAATCTAGTCCAAGAGGGAGCGAGGGTGAAGCGAGCTACCGCACGTGTTGTACTCTTCCAAGGACAGACACGGTAGGTGGCGGTGCGGACGTGGACAGAACTCTTGAGTTCAACAGCCCTGCTCCTCACTCTCTCAGGGGCTGGCACACCACCCTGCCATCCAGACAGGAAACTTCAGGGAGAGGAGCTGTGCAAGGGGACATGGTGCTGGCAGCAGAGTCCTGCCGAGCATAGAGCTGCCAGGGAGCGAGGGTGGTCGGCCGGGCACTTCCAGGTACAGGCAGAGCAGGGAGCACTTGAGCGTCTTGGGTCCGGCAGGAGAAGCTGGGTGAAGGGGCCTGGGTGTGGGACACGCTGGGTCTGGGCTACATGGGCAGGGCATGGTTCGATGTGTGACTTACACAGAAGGACTGGCAGGGGACACTTCAGCTCCTCCACCCCAAGGAACTCTGGCTCCAGATGTCAGGCCTGTTACAGCCAGAGGTGTGGGAACACAGAGGCCCAAGGCAAATGGCCTTCCCAGGGGAGCTCTGCTGACACCAGGCTGGGGACCAGCACACAGCCAGGGGCACAGGGAGTGACTTCTCTGTAGTGCGGCAGCAAAGGGCGGGGGGAGACCCTGCAGGGTCACTACTCCTGAGACACAGCAGCTGACACTGTGCCACCGGCCAGCAGTGGGCACAGGGGCGCTTCTGCCCGGCACGAGAGCAAGCTGAGGAATTTTACGAGGAACTGTGGCTGAGAGGGCAGGGCTCTCTCCAAAAACGGGATCACCTGACCCACCCAGAACCAACCTGGAAGAAGCCAAAGCTGGTGCAGGAGTCCAGGAAGCCATAGCCTGAAGGGGACCTGAAGCTACAGCCCAGGGCGGAGCTGGAGCCACACCGGGCAGGAGAGCTGCAGCCACAGTCATGGGTTCTGGAACCAACCTTAGGGGGAAGCAAGGGATGACACACAACCAAGACAGACCAAACTGTTGCAGAAAACCAGCACAGCTAACCAGCAGGAGCAGAGCAGATTTAGCAATGACTGCAGCTTCACAGCAGGGATTAGGATAAACCAGAAGGCCCCAGTGGGACCCGAACACCCGGCGGACTTACCCCGGGAACCAGCCTCCAGCCCCCCTTACGACTGCTGCTGCTGACGTTCAGTGAGAGGCAAGCAGGACTCTCCTATGTCCACATCCCGTATGGTCCTCACAGAGAACCCGAGAGGCCAGGGAGCAGGAAGGAAAGGTCACACCATGAAGAACCCCCTCTTCAGGGAAGTGCAAGTCTGCAGAAGCAGCTCTTACAGAGGCGATGGGGGGGGGGGTGCGCGCGCACATGCTCACAGGCAGCGATACCACACAGGACAAGCAGTGGCCACAGCTCCAGCCAGCTCGGGCCAGCAAGCAAGGCTTAGGTGCCCATACAGTGACACAGGCACAACCAAGAAAAACACTGCACAGAAGAGGGAGAATATAGAACTTTATTTTATAACAGTAAATAAATTCCACCACAGAAGAGGGACAACATGGGATTTTTCATTTAATAAATACAAATGAATAAAAATACTTTGTTTTGTAAAGAGACTGCCTCTCTTCCACCGCCCACAGAAGCCTACAGGTGACCCTGCCCCACCCAGCCCCTCCACACACACACAGAGGGCTATGTCTCCTTCACGTCGGGAAATACTCTTTAGGTATAATGCCCGCTCCTCCACCTGTCTCAGACACAAGTCTCCACACTGAATTTCAGCTGTGAACAACTCCCTCCAAGAAGGAAGAACCTGGCTCCACAGAGCGCCCCACAGAGCCCTGGACCGGGGCTTGTTCACACCATGAGATGAGAGGCCCCAGCAAAAAGGCAAGAGTGCACAGGCCACATCAGCAACAGGGAGGAGAAGGCAGCATGAAGAGAAACCTACTGCATGTCTCCCACGCTGTCTCTTATTTTAAAAATAGAAACTCCTATTTAAATGGAACCTACCTGGAGTAGGCCGGGTGTTTGCTCCTGCACGAGACAGGTCTTATTGCTTGTATGGGCCTCCTCCAGGCACTGAGCTGCTTGGCCCTGTCTGCTAAAAGGGCCACTCGGACCACATCCAAGTCACAGATCACACAGGACCCTCAGCGGGCTTCCTGGCGCAACCGCAAAGTACAGAGCGGAACCCTGGTGCTTCTTAGCTTTAGATCAAAAAGGGAAACTTTTGCAGGATCCAGGAGAGAACATCACTGGAACTTTAACGCTCTTCTCAAGCTTGCTCTCTAGCAGAGTGCCAGTAACAAGGACCTGAGTGCCAACCTCTAAAACGCAACCAGAAGCCTTCAGTCTTGCAGCCAGTAATAACCTCATGTTCTGAGTCCCTGTTCCTCACAGATGCATTTCCAAAGCGTCTCCTGGAAGGACATCTAAGGATGAGAACGCAGTAGCAGCTGTGAGAACAGGCCCTGCTGGTAAGTACTAGGCGAGAAAGGAAGCAGACATCTTCCGAGCACACGTACTAGGCACCTACAAGGGGCCCACAGCTCTACCCGCTGCTTCCACCAAGGCCACGAGTCTCTGCAAGGAGCCTAGCCGGTGTCCTGTCCGCCCAAGGGTCAGCCTGTGCCCCGGGAGGGGAGGGAAGCTGCAGCCACACTGCTGAGGAAGGAGGTAGTGACAACAGGGTGGACCCTGAGGCACTGCAATAAGCAGTGAGCCGCTGGTCCTGGAGAAAGGCCTGTCTGGGTGGAACGGTAAGAGACAGCGGCAGGTGGTTCTGTAAGCTGCCTGTGCTGTAAGTGCCAGCATGGCAGCACTGCTGCTGAGGGTCTGCAGGAGCAGGCTGGAACGGCTCTGTGGGTGCGCGTGTGCCTGAGGGGGGGTACAGCCTCAGAGCCCCAGGGACTTCTGTACAATCTGCTTGGCAATCTTGTAGAACTGCTCACGGTCATCCCGCCACATTTTAGAAGCATCTACGTTGGCACCACTCTCGTCGTTGGGCTCTGAAAGACAAGGGAAGGTGGGAGCAGCTTGAGGAGAGCATCCTTTCCCCTGAACATGCCGGGGACCCTCCAGGAGACATTCTGGGGACACGCAGGGCCCTCTCAGCTGTCCCTGCAGGGAGGCCAAGACCGATGTGAGGGAGCTGCTGGGAGGCACACAGCTCCCACAGCTGGCCACTGGGACAGCTCTCCTATTGCTCAGCTAGGTGGGTGGGTCACTCGTTCCTGCACCCCAACTTCTAGGCTCCTCCATACCCCTGACCCAGGCCCTCACAGCAAAAACATGAGTCCTGAATACCAGTGAGAAGAAGTCCAACAGCCTGCACTCTCAGACCCTGCCACCTACCCCTGATGCTTGGCTGGGCTCCTGGAGGCTGCTGACTCCCAACCCACAAGGCCTAGGCCCTCTTCCAATCACACTGTGACCTGCCCAGTGCTGCAGGCATGGCTTCCTGAGTCATAGTCAATGACATCATGCCCGCTGGGACACCCACGGATGTTGGAACACCGGCCCAGCTCACGTCTGGAGGCCCCTCTCCACAAGCCTTGGCTCCTGCTACAGATCTGGCAGTGTCCCACCAGCTCAGCCGCTGCCACCATGGCCCAGCTGTTTCCTTCACCCCAAATGCCTTCTCCTCACTCCTCCTTTAACTCCTGGTATCCTCAACTCATCCCAGGAAGTGCTCTGTGAGCCTGCTGTGATTTACCACCCTGGCCTTTAGCTCCTGGTGGATTTGCAAAGTTTCCCTAGAATGTGGAGCTTTGCAGCATGGGCCTCTGTCACATGGAGCTTTATACCCCCAGTGTAGTGTGAGACACATGGTGGGAGCCCAGTAAATGCCTAATGAATGAACAAGATGCCCAAGGGTTAGAGAATGGTCCATCATGGTTCCCACTGCTACATGACACTATACCATTTTTAGAATTTATAATTATGAAAAGCACATTTACAATTGGAGAAGTGGAGACAAGCAGCACTAAATTAAAATAATATCCATAGGTTAATTACAAAGAAATAAAACCCAGAGAGGGTTGAACGAGGGACTCCAGGCGTGCGTCGGCCTACCTGCCAGCATGCTCACGACCGACAGCAGGATCTTCTCCACGCTCTGCACAGGGCTCCACCTCTCAGCGCTGCTTTCATACCCCATGGGATCGTCGCCTGGCGCATGGAGGATGGAGATGCAGACTCTGCCATCGGGGTAGACTGCAAGGGTCAGAGGCAGCCAGGTGAGCCTCAAGTGTTGCCCTGGGCAACACAGTGCTGGGGCGGGTTCCACAGGTACAGAACAAGGGGTGCAGACAAACTCGAGTTGTCCGCACAGCTGGAGAAGAGTCAGGGCCCGAGTGGCACGCTCCACATCTGCACCAGCCTGGTGTGGCCTGCAGCTGAGGCCTGGCCTGCCTGGGCCTCCCAGAACCCTGCACACCTGCTGACAGGGACTCTGGGCTGGCCTGTCCGGCTCTGACCAGTTGTAAAAGAACTCTACCTAGATGTCCTTACACACTGTCTCCAAAAAGACAGTGAATGAAAGGTGATCTGGCAGTTATTTCACTGAAATTAGGATTATTCAAAATACTTTTCAGAGCCAGATTTTATAGACATTACTAATTCTACCATTAAATACCTCAGCTCCACTGGGTAAAATACATGTTCACAGGGCTAGGACAAAGCAACTGGAATTACTTCAAATCCAGAGAAAGAATGGCACTGCTACTTTTTTTTTTTTTTGCTTTTTCTCCGGTACCGGGAACCGAACTCACGACCTTGCGCTTGCCAGGCAGGCGCTTTTGCCGCTGAGCTAAATCCCCAGCCCAGCACTACTCTAATAGAAAAGCCACCATCAGCACTACCTGGAGGTCAGTGTGTCTGATCTAACCCGTCCCCGCCTGGTGCCCGTGCTACCCAGACCCCGCAGCCAGGAGGGAGGCAGTTTCCAGGGCACAGCCGGGCGCAGTGCTTGCTGGGAAGTTAAGCACATGTTCCTCTCACATCCACTGGGAAGCCTGGGAAGATCTGACACACTGTCAGACACACACAGTAACCCATCTGGGTAAGCTCGGCAGTAAAATTATAAAAAGCCACTGAGGTCGTAGACGACAACTCAAAGTAACATTTAATTCACCTTAGCTCATGAGTTCGGAATTTCACGTAAACCCAGACACTGATGGCTGTCATTTATCTCCAAAGGGCCTTTTCTTTAGTGCCCGCCCCTTGGCCTTCCTCGCTGCCCAGGAGCTGCCCACCGCCTCTCCTTACAAGAGAAGCCAGGTGGACACTGGTCCTGGACCTGGCTGTCTACAGTCATACACGGAATCTGGGCACCAGAGCTCTCAGGACCATGCAGGCTGCCACAGGACCTGCACACACCAGTTCTCGACTTCAGCGCCACCCACCTCCCCCGCGGTGATGGCACTCTGCAGGGACTACGCACCCGAGACACTCAAAAGCGGGGTGTCTTCCCCACTGGCCCTTTCTCCGGGTCTCATCAACTGCACCTCCACCCACATGACTCCAGCATCAGCGCCCACACTCAGCTTCCCGCTCCAGGAGGACGCTGTGCTGCTCCCGCACCCCCACCGGGTCCTTCAAAGGAAGGACGCGGCCCTGCTCCTGGAGGGAGATCCGCTCTTAACACTGACTCCTGGCCCACAGCCAGCTTGGCGCCGCTCCTCTCCCCTTGCTTCACACCAGAGCCCCCAGGACAGTCACCAGAGGCCGCCTCTCCCTGCAGGTGGCCAGCACTCACCACCTGGCAGGGCCCTGGCCCTTCAAGTGGTTTGGGATTAACCTGGGTGGCTCTTGCAGCAGTGGCTGCCCTGCCCTCAGGCGGGCTGGGTCACCACCACACCCAGCAGCCCCAGGAAAGGCAGAATGACTTCTTATGCGTTTTTACTGACCAACTGATCTTTGTGATATCGTACACCTGCAGAATAGTTCTCAAAATACACTTTTCTAAAATAAAAACACCCATTTACAATAAGGCAAAATTTAAAAGCGATTTAATTATCTGAACATTACAACATTTATTGGATGTACAGCTGAGTGGTAAAGAACAAGCAAGCTCCTGGGCTCTTACCCTCTCGCTCATCAAAAGCATGGTTTGTGTTCCCTTCTGAGGCAGACAGGGACTTAGAAACGGTTTTGGGTAAAAACCATGACTTTCCTTGGGCCTCCAGAAGTCCAATGGATAACTGGAAGTAGGACAAAGCTTGACTCTCATTTTGTGCGCACACACATCTGCACCTCGGGAATGTCTGTCTACATGCTCACAGACCAGCCTGGCGGTAATGGCCAGCTGGACCCCTGACAGCCGACCTCCTGCTGCCGTGGGTGGCCCACCTGACCCCAAGCCAGGGCAAGCCCCTTTCCTCAGGCTGGAGTCTTCGTGATGAAACTGCTGGAGCCCTGTACAGCTGCGCTCTGCCTCCTCTTTCTCTGGTTTCCATTTCCACCATAACTAAGGCAGGACCCATGCTAGCTGGGGACACTGGGCCCACAACCCACACATAGAAACACTCACTGTTGGGGTGAAACATCTCACAGGTGAAGCGCATCTTTGGAGGACTCAGTGGATAATCCAATGGGAAGCTCAGGATGGCAGGAAAAACACCGAACTCAAAGCAGGTATCTTCAGGGCCCCTGGAAGACAGGGAGTAGGCAGTCAGGAGCTCAAGTGCAATCTGGAACGGTGCTCACAATTCTCAAAGGACAGGATGCTTCTGTTTCTAAACGGTCATGAAAAAAAATAACCTCAACACTCCTCTCTGAACAACAGTGTGTCTCTCTCTGCCATTCCAGCTGCTGCCAGTCTCAGGCAGGTGCAGACACCCAGTGGCATTCACAAAAGCAACAGGTGGCAGCAGGGCCCATGGGAGTCTGCCCCTCTGGACGGTGGTGCAGCCACGCGAGAGGACAAAAGTGTGGAGTAGGGCTGGCGGTCAGCTAGAATCTATGGTACTTACACAAATGCAGGGTTAAGAAACATATTCACAGGCTATTTAACATTTCTGAACATGCCTAAGAAGTGACTTTTGTAACTTTATGTAAGAAGCACGTAACACTGTGAGACTGAGGTAGGAGAATTTCAAGTTTGAACTCAGCCGGGGCAACTTTGGGACTGAGACCTTATTTCAAAATAAAAAAGAGCTGGGGATATGGAGCTCCGTGTGAAGACCCTGGCACAGAAAGAAAGGAACAGAAAGAAAGGAGGAAAGCAAGAAAGGGAAAGGGATGGGGAAAGGCAGGCGGGCGGCGGGGAGCAGCAGCAGATGAAGAGCACAGGAGATACCTGGTTCCCTCGGTGCAAAAGGCCAGGCCGCAAGCACCCATCAGCCCCCACCCACACTGTGACGCCACAGGCTCGCCCCAGGAACCACATCCTCACATGCCAGTGGCAGAGATGACTGAGCAGCTAAATGGTCTTCTGGAGGATTAAAGCCCTCTGTGGGGGCAGCAAGCCCGACGGCAGCAGGAGAGGGTAAGAGTGACGGCTACCAGCCTCACTGCAGTGCATCTGAGGGAGACCAACCCCTCCCTACAGTGGATAATCCAGTGGGAAGCTCAGGAATGGCAGGAAAAACACCGAAACAGGCTGTGGTTTAGCTCTAGAGCATCCCCGCAAGTCCCCCGTGCTCATAAGAGGGGCTTTCTGGAAGGCCACCAGGTCATAGGGGCGACACTGCCTCCAGGGGTGGTCTCGAGGCAGATCGTGCTGTTGGAGGCGGGGCCTGGCTCAGCCAGTCACTGAGGGTGTAACCTAGAAGACTTCGATCTTGCCCCTTGCCGCCCCCCCTTCGCTCTTTTGCCCACACGCGAGAGACTGGGGTTTATGAGGACTCTGGCTAGGAGCTGGGCTTGAGGGGCGGGCTCAGTAACGCACTAGGAGCTGACTGGGGCTTCCCTCACGTGCATGCTTGCGGGAAGGGTAAGAGAAGGTTGTAATCGGGGCGGAGGGGAGAAGAAGCGGGGGTGGTCATTTGGAAGACAGGCTGTTGTTTCTTTGGGCTTCAGCATGTTAGACCCCTACCGTAATGACTCAGCAATTCGTACTGGACAGGGACCCATCACTTCCTTACAGCCACAGAGGACAGCTTTCCTCCACCATGCCCCTCCAAGCCAGCTCTGCCTTGGGGCAGCCAACCGCCGACTGAGCCCTCTGTAACATGAGCCAAAAGAAGCCCCTTCTTAAATTACTGGCATATTTTGTCCCAGCAACAGGGAACTGACTAATGCAATACATATCAGAGTCATTTGAAAGACCTTGAACAACCTTCAGTATGTGAATTTGCTAAGAATGCAGAACTGCCCAGTGACAGCTAGATACTGAAGGAGGAGAAATCACTGGACACAGAGTGTGGTGGTGGCACACGCCTATAATCACAGCACTTGGAACTCTGAGGCAGGAGGATCGCCACAAGTTCCAGGCCAGCCTAAACTACACAGCCAGACCTGTCTCAAAAGAACCAAAAAGAAAAGAAATCAATCAATCACCATGGGAACACACAGTCCAGGGACAAAGGAGAAAGAAAGAAACCACATGGGCGACTGGGCCGTTTCCCCAAAAGCTCTGCTTCCTTGTAGAACCCCCACGGGTCCCAGACCAGGATGCCCCTGGGATCCACCAGCCCTGCTGCCACTCAGGTGAACCCAAGAAATGGCCCAGTGTTTCAGAAACACTGGTTCTGAAATTATCTGTACTTTAAACCACAGATTTTTTTTAGGACCACAAACGTTTAAAATCTTGATGCAATTATTTTGGTTCCATGAAATTAACATAAATTAGCAAAATATTTATTCCCACAGTGAAAGGAAGAAGACAACAGAAAGCCCTAACTTTCCTTTGGCAGCAACACTAGGGCTTCAGGAAAACGGTGTGGTGTGACAGAGCCAGTTCTTTTCACTCTGGGAGACAAATCTCAACTCTGAAAACTGTGCCCCGCTACTTTTTGGGGAAACAACAGTGAATAGCACCTGGGTTTGGAGGGAACATGACAGCGCCAGAGCCTGTGGAAGACAGGGCAGGGATGCTAGGTGAGGAAGCGGGACAGGTGGCAAAGGCCCTTCCTGAGGGCACAGCAGCATGGCAGGGCCTCCAGGTGTGACAGCACAGAGACCTCAGCTGTGCTCACACTGCTCGACTCCAGGCCGCCACACACAGCCACGCTGAGCAGTGCGTTCTGCACCAGACCTACAGCAAGGGACAAGTGTCCCTCATCACTCTGCGCCGTCTCCTGCTGCCATTTCACTGTTGGGCAAAGCTGGGAAACCCAAGGTCTCATTAACTCAAGACCTATGTGTTGTCTTGAACACAATTCAAACTGTGGAAAGAGAGGCTGGGCAGACAAAGCCTGTCTTCAGAAGTCACACCTTTCCCATGTGAGGAAAGGTTCCAGGCGTCAAGACTGCTGGCACCTCTGAGTCTAGAATCAGAAAAAATGCGGGGTAGCATCTTCAGAATGAGCCACAAAGGTATTTGCTCAACACTGTGATAACAGTCCTTTGTTTCTCATAATGGGGCTTTCTTTAAAAGCAAAGACACCCAGCAGGTGTAGCCTCACAAGCATGACCGAACACTTCCTGAAGTGTGCCCACATCTCCAATAACAAAGCTACCTGCAGACCCAGCCCCGGGACAAGCGTCAGGTGGCGGGGCGCAGTGGTGTGCCTGACCATGCCTGCTGACCGGGCCCCTGCCAGAGAAGCCCCATCCGCACGGGGGTGAGTGAGTGCGGCCTTGGACAAGCTGCTGCCATACTTCTAGACCACCTCACCTTTCACAGAAGGTGGCCCCTAGCTCAAGAGCCTCAGAGGAAAGAAAAGCAAGAAAGGAAACAAAACAGATCTATCCAAAACAGCTATGAATCCCCAAAGGCCACAAACGACTTTCCGCCTTACTCACCCAACAGCGGCCTGGCCTGTTCAACTCTGACAAGAAGCAAGGCAAGCACTATGGCGAGGCACCCTGACCAGACATACCCTGTGCATAAACCCCATCTGAACTTGCTCACTCCAACTGTGGCTGACGTAAAAGAGGGCCGCACCTGACAGTGACTGGCAATCCTGTCCATCCTGTCCCTGAGCCGCCTGCTCTGCCATCTCGACAGGTTCAAAGCACACCAGCGAGCGCGAAGCAGGCTCACCTGTCTTGCAGCCACACTCAGGGCGAAGTGCTGCGGGAGGCCTGCACACCAGGGCAGGAGTCAAGACGGCCAGGTGACGGCTGCAATGCACATTGCCCATCAGCGTGCACGTGGCCGCAGGGCAGGCATGGCGCAGCAAGTACGAAGCAGTGGAGACAGCAGATGCACCCAGCAGTGCTCAAAACCTGACCTGCACCCGAGGACACCTGTGCCCCAGCAGAACCCCGCAAATTGCACAAAAGCAAGCAGGTTGCTTCCACATCGCAGAGCTGCAGGACCTGTCTGGGCGCAGCCTGTAGCCTGTGTGCCACACAGGCAGGTCCTGTGCCACAGAGACTGCACACAGCCCCAGGCCAGCCCCACCTGCTCACCCAGCAGAGGCTCCCGGAGCCAGGGCCAGGGTCCCACAGCCAGGCAGCGAGTGGTAATGAGAACTGGCCGGGGAAGCTCCGCTTGCGTGGTGTGACTCGCTCCAGGCCAGGGACACCGTGACTGCGGAAAGCCCCTCCCGCACTGTGGTGGGGCGGCACTCAGAGGGACGGGGAACCCCTGTGGGCCCCCAGATGATTCATGTGGGACACAGTGCTGAGAGCAGGGGGGACAGGAGGGAGCCCTCATCTCGGGAGACAGCAGTGGCAACTAACAAGTTCCACTCCATCATCATCATTTTCACTATTAAATCTGCCCCGAAGAGTAACAGCTGCACCCTATTCTTGCAACAGACATCCCTGAAGAACTTTCTGTTTGAACTGCGCTTCACTGTATTTAAAGCACACACAGCTCTAGGAGCTCACAGTGAATCCCAAGAGTCACTCTTCCAACACACACGCTGACCTCCCTGACCCAGCCAAATATACTTCAAGTCTCAAAATAAATAAAAGCCTATTGTAAAAGTATATAAAATAAAGAGCACCTCCCTCACCCACCTGTCTGTGCCACCTCCCCGAGGAGCGTGCTTCCAGGCACTCCTGCACATGTGTACAAACATACTCGTCCTTGCTGATGAAACTGTTTTAAACTACATCATGGTGAGCCAGGCGTGGTGACGCACACCTATAATCCCAACACTCACGAGGCTGAGGCAGGAGGCTCATCACAAATTCAAGGCCAGCCTGGGCTACCCAGTGAGTTCATTCAAGGCTGGCCTAAATTACCCAGCTACACCCTGTCTCCAAAAAAAAAAAAAAAACAGAAGCAGAAATAAATAAATAAATAAAGTTACATGGTGCTACTGACGAGATTTGAAAACACCTAAATAATGGGAGAGACCATGTTCACAAATTGGTGCACTCGGTGAGGTTAAGGTGGCACCATTCCCTCACGCTGGTCCAAAGATCAAACAAACCCTCCCCGAGATCCCAGCAGGCATCTGCCAAAGCCGACACCACACCCAGGACAGCCTCAACAATTCCGAACAAAAAAAAACAAGCTGCAGGACCTAACATTTCCCAAAACTCCCTCTACCACTACAGTAACCGGAGCAGCACGGTATGAGCAGAAG